TGTAGAAGTGTGTGAGGATAGTTGCACAAACAAAAACCATATAGCAGCGTGTATACTCAAATGAATCTTGTCTGCACGGAGAGCATCAGCACATGAATAGCAATATAAAACCAAGCTCAAGAAAAATAAATCATTGGATGGTAAGTATTTCTAAGCGACTTTAAAATATATTACTGAGTAAACAGGTCAACATTCATACCATTAATAAGCACAAAAGGCGTAAATTTTATACCGGGGTATATGTATGGTACTAAATTAGGACTAATTATCAAATTAAAAAGTCACTTTATAATTTTTGATGATTTACTATTTCCTGTTGAGAAAATAGCGTAACAAGATTACAGATATGAAAATGTCAAAACAATGAACAACCTACAAAATTTGCTATTTGATTTACTAAAAATGGAAATCATATTTCAGTGTTAAACTAACCATAAGTTTTTAACTGACTGTAGACCTAATACTTGCATACAAAAGCTCAGAGGTACGTTGGATAGGTCTTTTCAAAGACATTAGATGCAATAACAAGAAACGCGCGATACAGTTATTTGTGCCCTTTTTAACAAGTATTGTACACTTTCTAATCCACACACTACGAAAGTGGTCAACAGACAGTCATTAACGTAGAGCCTGGCCCGAATGTTCGTTCATCTAAGTTCCCATATCGTATAAGAAGACGAGGTGGACATGACAAAATAAATGGCGAAGAACCAGAATTGCTATATTAGCAATGATAATCAGATAGTACTAAAAATATAGCTCTAAAAGACAGAGTGGAAGGATATGTATAAATGGATAATATGTAAAAAAAAAAACAAGAAAACACAGAGTGCATAAATCTGGAACATTCCAAGCAATTCTGAGTCATCACAAAATTTTTCAACCACCGATTTAAGTTACCGTGTAGATGTCAACCAGGTATTCTGCATCCACCAATATAACTCAGACGAACAGTCAATTACTTTGGCTGACGACAGGCCTTGGTTTAGCCACGCCCAGGCAACATTCATCAACATCAACAAACGTTGGTCGAAGTAGGTGGTGGTAAGACACATAAGACACGTTTCAACCACCTTAGTCGATCAAGATCTACAACCGCAATCATCTTTACCTAGTGCCTAATGTCTAACCTCCACATTATTTATTCGGTCATTCCACAAAACGCGACCAACGCCATGAAGATACTTACGATTACAAGCCTACAACCTACGTAAGTCTTCTACTTTTAAAGACCATACTTCACACCCATACGGTTATACAAAACAGACTGAAACACAGTAACTTTATCTGTTATTTGACGTGTAGAAATATCGTCCACTCTACAAGTAACGCAATTCCAAATCACTCTTCAAATTTTCCTTAGTCCAATAGATGATGTGGGACAACAAAAGCCGATGCATATCACCACCACTCCTGAAATGTTTTTATTATAGCTGGGTGACAGTCGTTTGTTAATCAGCCTTTTTCTGAAGACTGACATAACAATCGTTCCATTATGAAACGATAATCACTAGAAATCAGCAATATCTTAAGAAACAACTAACGCAGTTTTACGACAAGAAATTCATTTGATTTTTTAAAAATTCATGAAATTAGGTGGGTTAATGTTGATTACTCAGTGGTCATACAACAGTTTTGGTGGAAGTTACTTGAGCAATAGATCAACTGAATTGTCTTTCGAAGTTATAAACCCAGTGTTTCAATTGTGTCTGAAGATTAATAATTGTTCAAAAGTCAATCTCAAAGTTTACGTCACGAAACTCAAGTTACTCGCTACCAATGGCTTAGACGTGCTTTTATTTATTTATTTGAACACATAAATATTGGTACAAGAGAGCGCCAATATATATGCGCCACACGTGCTCGAACAGCCTTACTATATTCAAATCAAAAGTAAATTCCGATCGCCAGGTTTTATCGTCCATATGTATGCCTCATGAAATTCTATGATTAAGTGATAATCCACACAATCCACCAGGCCAAACCGACAGAAATAGAAACGTTATAAAGAGTTCAAAACTTAATTTTCAAAGCGAAACGATTCGTGAAGCTGCAATCGAGTTTACTACGATATCGTTTAAGTGAAACCGATTCTTATTTGCGCTTCATGAAAAATGACAGCTGGCCTTCAACTGATTTCAATCCAACATTTACGTGGTAGGTGGGTTGAAATCCCTCATAATTTACTGGAATTCTGGATAAGGGAATTTGGGCCGAGTCGGTAGATGTAAACTACCGAGTTAATCATAATTCGAAGTCGCTAATGTTGTGACATAACTAATGTCAGTTACAGTAGCAAAGACAAATTTATTTTCTATTTCTTTTTAAAATATAAGCTTGATTTAACTTCATATTTCTGATTCTTAGTTTTGTTGCTTTTGAACATTATTTCAAATGTACGCTTATCGCAATGACTGATAGTTTTCACTTTTTTGACCCCTCACATTGTTAATTTCCTCCTTCGATGTGCTGCGTAGTGCAGCGAATTGAACCAAAATAGTCGTACCAGGTCTACTGCTATATATGACTCATTGACCAAAACTTAACTGTGCTATGTCGAAAACATTTACCACACAACCCTTGGTTGTTACAAATAGACCTATGAGGAGCTAAAAAAAGGTACCAGTTTAATGACGTGCACAAAATGACAGCCTTTTCGTTTATCATGACAGATTGCGGAGTCTTTAGGCAGTGGACGGTGTGAAAACAGCTAGGATTTCAAATACGGTTAGTTACTTGTCAATTGAACAAAAGTGGGATTTACTTAAAGGGCTGTATTATTTCCGCGCTTAAAAATCCACCCAACAAATGATCTTCATTTTTATCTACTTACTACACCTGACAATTCCGATACAACAGGGGATCGAAATAATTCCCCACACAAAATGAACTGGTAATATTATGGAGATGTAGAAGGAAAAGGCTGTATACTAAATAAACAAATAAATATATCAAGCATAGAAAATGGGTGAAATTGATTCTTTAGGGATAAATGAGTAGTGTATGTCAACAAAACCAAACATGCGAAACAAGGACAGTGTTTTTAGCATACAGTCCCAACGTCTAGATAATGCATCCTCATAAATAAAAGGTTGCTAACATTTATTATATGGTTCGATCAGTTTTAAGTGTAAAAAACGTTCAGTAGTTTGGAAATGAAAAGACAAATAAAGGCACTGATCGATCAGGGATTGTTTACAAACATCCAATAGAAAAGTAGAAATCAATAGTACCGATGATCTTAAATAGTAGCTTATTTTAATATGAAAAACGTGGCTAAGCACCAAAAGAAGACGATTAGAATAAATACAGTCAAATAGCCACATAGTACTTTGACCAGTGGATTCCGGTTTAAAAAATGACTACGACTACACAAATCATGACTCATAAGCTTTTACTGTGATCAGATGTGCTTATCTTTCATGTTTATTCTGATTATAAACATCTTATGAGCCAATAACTTAATGACATCCATTCACTATTTTCGCCTAACTTAGTTTCGCTGTTGTTATCGACCTTAAGTTCTCGTGCTATAAATTGCGAAAAATTGGGCGAAAGTACAGTTTAGGGGCAAACTAATCAGAATCAAGAACGCGACTATCACGTTAGCAAGTATGACAAACAGTAAAAATATTTTTCTATAGTGCTCAGAAAATCTAAAACGGTGACGAAAAACTATTTCCGCTACAATGGAGTAAACGTGATATTATTAAACATACTAAATGTTCAATCCCTTTTCAGTATATTTTATATAGCAAGCAAATAAATACCATTCTTAAATTTCAATCTTGGTTCAAAAATAAACATCGACCTATCAGCATTATATTTTACGGACGAACTAATTATAGTGCCTTTTAAGATTTTTATAGCTATGCAACTACAAAGCAGTTTTTGCATTATAACTGATTTCAGCCGATGATGAAAATCCAAACTTGAACCTTTCAATCCTAACCCTAAATTTGAAAGCCTAACCAAGAATAGTATGAGAACTCCTAAAAACCAACCTTGGTCCTCATAGGGATTCGATAAAGCGAGTGATTTGTCTATATAAGCGGATTTGTATGTCGTTTCTTAGATTCACAAGCAGAGCAACCGTTAGAGGACTTTAATAGATTCGCTATGTCGAAACTGTTTGCACTTTCTAATATTGTTTTTTGATTATCTAAACAAATCCGTCAGTTATTTTAATTTCGTCCTAATACCATACTCGTACAAAAAATTGAACTGGTACGACTGTTCCAAGCCCTATGTATATCATTACGCAGATAACTAATAAAGAACCAGTTACAAATGATCATACTAAGTTTGATCAATATTTCTGAATAGTTACACGATGAAAACAATTATTTTTATATCTATGTGAATAAGAAAGAGTATAACTCCCACATATTTTCATTTCGAGACTAATTTGGCTTCTGAAAAATCAAATCAGACTACCAAACTAAAACCCCACGTAATATCATCATGCTTTCCTCTGTTCTTATTGAGTATTTTCATATGCATTACTGTATGCTCACGTCTATGGTAGCTTAGTATGTTAACTTTATCACCGTATGGTAGGATAACGTGAAGTCGTGGTCATTTTGTAATAATAAGTCAACATTTGAGTAAGTACAAACAAATTCTAATAGATCACGTTGATAGCCATTTTTCAGTTTACAAGGAGTAATGAAACGAATCTTGTGAAAGTATTAAACCTTTTATGAAGACCGGGTTTTATTTTACATGAAAATAACCATATCGCAGTTTCCATTATATATTGAGACTCATAACTGAGAAAATTGTGCAAAGCGCTGCAATATTACAGCCAAAAAAATTAGTTTAAGCAGAACTTAAGAAAAACAAAGTAGACAAGTGAAATAGACATTTATAATACGGATCTATTATAAACACAATTACTGACATTTAGAGAACCATAAGCACACGTTTTAATAAAACGGGATAGTAGTTTTGTTACATTAAATAGCTAATTAGTAAAAAAATAATTTTTTTAAAAATACCTGAGTCGAAGCTTCCGGTTTCTGAGTTTGATTTACTAGACAATCTTTTCTTAGCTGATGATAATATGAGACGCGAATCCTAAGCAAAAACTCGTTATGAAAATATCGCTAACTTACCTTCGTTTGCTCCTCATAGCCAGAATTACATCCTCTAGAGTGTATTGGAGTGGATGACACTTCCAGTACCTTGTCCACGTTCTTCATCTGTACACTACTCATTATCACGCGATGTGACTGTCATCCGGAAATCCCGCCAATGCAACGACCTTCGAAAATTTCAAATGGTTCAAATAATTATGAACGGAATAAAAACTTTTGATAACGGGCTTCCGTATCCAGTAGCAGTGGATTACAGATGCCTCTAGATAAGAACCTAGGTGTATTTGACGAAAAATAGAAAAAAAGAATTAGTAAATTATGATGAGATACTATCCTTGGTCCTTAAGAATATATCTGGGTTGCTTTCAAAGGACCCCTGGAAAGTCGCTCGGGCTATGTCAATCGGAATCTAATTCCAACATTTGACTGCTCTTGAAGAGTAGAAGGTGTGCCTACAATCCGTTCTTCTGAGTTGTGTCTCCAGTTTATGGGTGTTCCCGCTAAGTTTTGTGTTTAAGGGGATGCCCAGAACTTTTTAGGATGCTACAAGCCATTGAAAGATCACCTTCAAAGACGAGTATAACTATTGGAGATTATCGGGAAAGTTCTTCCATTGAAGTGGTTGGAAATTCGTTTCAATGTTAAAGTACAAGTTTTGCTCGTAGAGCTTTTTTGTCACAGTTAGCGTAAGACTTCAAATCGTAGGGTACCAACATTTCTATATTTTTTTAAAATTTCATATACTTCTAGAGGAGAGTTACCTAAGTCGCATTTGTAGCCTGTAGCATGTCCCATATGGGCTACTTTATACTTTAGAGTGTTAAAGTTAAGTCCATTGTTGTCCTCCTAACTGTGAGGTCGAGTCATATCCTCCCTAAATACCAGCTCATCATCTTGGCTGCAAATACCTCTCCCGAGTTTCACAACAACAGTAAAAAGTAATAAATATGACGATGCCTGCTGTGGAATAACTCAAGAAAAAGAGCGGTCCTAGCACAGAGTTCTGGGAGCCCCCAACAGGACATTCCGCAGCCTGAGGACGTGAATTTCACCCTGGCCTCGGTTAGATATAAAGAAAGCCAATCAACTAAATACAATGTGATACCTAACCGTTTGAGCTCATTCATAGGACATATATGATTAATCCTATCAAAGACTTTTGAGAATTCAAGGTACATGACGTCGAACCTCCCTCTGTCATCAAGGATCTTTATCCATCTGTCTATTGCGGCTAGCCAGTTGTCTATAAAAGAATAACCCTTCCTAAAACCGTGCTGTTGGTGTGAGAAGAAATTTATGAATAGTAAGTAGTCACGCAGATCGCTGCACATCAGAGACTCCACAATTTGTGAGAGTTTTGAGAGGAGTGCTACCAGTCGGTAGCTTGAAGATTCTCTGTGTCGACCTCTTTTGGGCCAGTTTCTAATTTCTTAGTGCCAAGATTGGAACTGCTTCCTTCAGTATAACAGAATGGACCAAACCGGGATCAGGAGAAGATTCCATGTTTAAGTGCTAGAGTTTCTGATACACTGAGAAGCGCTTAGGTCAATTCTGAGTTCTATTGAGTTGAAGATTTAGCTCGGGTCGATATATTCAGTGTGCGACGGTTGAATTGTCTGGAAAAACTGTTCTGCCAGAAGGTTGGCGGAGTTCGTTGGGCCATCAGTACCTAAAATTTGTAAACATTTAGTTTTGGGTTGTCGAATAGAGGCTGAATTACGGAATAGGCTTCATAGACTGGAGACAAAGTTGCCGATAAGCTTTATCAGATCCTGAAGCCTTTCTTCCCTCAATACCTTTGTGAATTGGTTCCTTACTTGTTTGAATCGCCTGTTGTTGCTAGTTCGTTCGCATTCCACTCATTAGTATCTTTTGCGACTTGACAAGCAAAAGTTACGATTCCTTACGACTTTAAGTTGTTTTTAATTTTTGGTGACCGGTCTCAGAACACACCAAAAATTATATGCAGTAAGAAATCCTAATGCGCATCCATATCATGATGGGACTGAACTTCCCAGCCCACCTGCTTTAGATTGTCCTGTAAAACTGGAATATCCAACCGTCTGAAATTCTTGCATCTGTCGTTGTTAGGATGCCGAAATTCAATTCTTCCTGATAGATTTAGTTGAATGCTTGTTCTTTAAAGTCTACTTCTGGGTGGTAAGGGATTTTTCTTGATGATGAAACTTTATGTTGCTTGTTGTGTCCCTTCCGTAACTAAATGGCAAGATGAGAACAATCACCCCCAGCAGTTGCAGAACTTATATAAATCTCGAGCCTTCTTTAGGAAAGCCCTGTTGAAGGTATAATAACATTTGATTTAAAAAATGAGCTTTGTATTCTAAGACTGCCGGCCATAAAAACGTTGGCTTGGATTTTTGGTCTGGTTCATTTAAGTTCTAGCCTCAATGGTCTCCCTATTAATTGTAATTTGTTAATGAAACGAAGCGTCGATCTACTAAAATAATATGCTATATCATTATGACGTTATTCTCATTTTTTGTTTTGAACAAGTTGCAAGTTTATAGTTTCCAGAAGAGCTGGTTAGGGTTTGTTTTTTACTCCATGTATCTTCTTTATGTACGTGTTCCAAGAGAGTAGTATCCTTCCTCAGGTAAGCGGACTAGATGAATGAGGCTTTCAGATTAATTCTTAGTTAAACACTGAAAATAATTCAGAATATTTTCAGAGGTTGACCATAGAATATTCTGTCACCTTAAACTTCGAAATCCATAAACGCCCTCGAAAATTAATGGTTTTAAAATGAAAAGAGACAGATGAGTACTTAAGTTTTTCACTTATATGTTGGTGCCTCAAATAAAATGTTTCTGATCCTAATATTATGTCTGTTCTAAAGCAATTTGAGTCCGCAGGGAGATTGTGCGAGAAGGTTCAGATGGTGATAAATATATTAACAAATCCCTGCTCGTAATGAAGATCCTTGTTTGTTAACAACGAATTATCGTTGCTTTTGTGTAGGGACGAAGATATAGTGAATAAGAAGGAACAATGAAACTAGCTGATAATAGGAAAAGTATTTAAGGGGTCTCTATAGTTATTACTCCGTGACCACCTAATTAATTATGAATTAGTTTCTCCGTTCAGTTTAAGAAAAATGAAAACAAGAATTATACCTGTATGGTCCGTGAAAGGATACTGGGTTCTAGCCAGATCATTCGGTAGTCGAGTCAATAAATGTCAAGCAGTCCATCGGTCTTTGTCAAGTTCAAGGGCAACCAATGCGCATCAGTTAATCGTACATCATGGACTGACCCATGTGGTGGTGGTCGCAATCTCTTCCTTGTACCCACTTTTACTAATATATTTTTGTAATGACTTCCTTTGTGTCATACGATCCTCATAGTAGCTATAGTACCTTGATACGACGAAGGGGTAATTCATGTTAGGTGCAGACCGCAAGGTTTGACTTCGACGTTGACTTTTGGACACACCATTCCCATCTACCTCGAGTAGGCGCCCAATCATCTGGCACAGATGCCCTACGCCAGCCATATACATACCTTTTCCTTACAAATAGTGCTTCGGCGCAGACCCCAAGAAACAAAGTTCTAGAATCTGATCAGTAGGGTTTAATGTATTTGTAACAGCTTAGGTTGGTTGGTTAGGAGTTGACTCCAAACAACCAAGCATATGCCAAAACAGTATTGTTCAAGGATTCATTCACTTCCTTATTTTGTATAAGCGTTATATTCCCTATTATCTTATATTAAATGTTGAGAGCCTTTGTTTGTCTGAACAGATAATCCCACGCTCCACTGTGACTGCGCGAAGATCGAAATAAAGATCTATTCACTACTTGTCTGGTTTCTTCTATCAATAGCACGAGGGTTAACTTAAGGCACGAAATATTAACAAAGCAGTATGTGATCCTAATCTGAGACCTCAAGAAATTTCCAGGTTTATTCAGGCGGAACTAGATTGGGTTTCTTGGGGCAATCCAAACGAGAGAAGCTATCAAGGTTTTTCTAGACTGAAGGAGTAGGTGGTATAACTACAATATGGCTTTCAATGTTATGCTTATACCTTTCGATTATTACCTTTGAATTTCATATTAAGAGTGAATTAAAACAATTCTTAAGAAGATATTTAAGTATAAAAATATTGCATTACTTATCCTCGACGGCCTACTTCTTTATTGAGGGAAGAAGTAATTTGATTACCAGAGTCGGTTAATTTTCCTTTTAGTCCATAAATAAGTTAAATTGAAGAAGAATGTTCGAGGAAAAACGATCCATGGACTTTAAATTTCTTGGGGTTGTGGATCCATATTCACTGTTACCTGGCAATAGTTAATCATGCATACTCCAATTATGTTAGCAAACACAGAGATCCTCTAACAACGGTGATAATGTGTAATCTTTGGACTAACTTATTCGGTGCGGTTTGTACTTAGGAGACTTGAAACAATGAACTTTTCAAGGAGCGAATATGTTCCTACAAAAAAGGGCTGTTGTTCTATTCCTCATGGATAAATCAATCCAGTCTGCTCAAAAATAAATGATGATAATTCGGTCACCAAGCGATAGGTAGATCCAGCCAACTCAAACAGTATCAATGGAGCTCATAGTCAATGTGGAATCCACCATTATATCAGAATGTATGGGACAAAACAAAGTATTCAAAGAGAAAACCATTTAAATAGAGTTGCATACAAGTGAAACAGAGGATAGAAATATTCCTTAGAACCGTAAAAAGAACAGAATATGTCTGAGTGCAAGCATGGAGAATAGTTGCAGCACATTCAAATTGATAGGACTTTGTTGCCGTTCGAAGTGTATACACAGAAAGATCTTAAGTCACACACATACATATAAAAGTAGGTCGAAGCACTATTAGTACGTCCCTCTTTCAATTGACTTCATAATTCAGCGGAGACTTTCAAATACATAGAAACCGAAAACAATAAGTCGCAACAAATAGGAGATAGATTCCAGTAGGTGAAAAATGGGAAAGGAAACAATCGAAACTGTGAAAGTATCACTGAGTGTAATATTAAGAATTGTAGATGTCCGAACAAATAATATTCTAATTTTCAAAATACAGTTCAGTTATCTGTAGGAAGATATGTCGGTGCCATAAATGCAGGAGAGTTTGGTTAGTAAAATGCCTCCATGATAAAGTAAGCGTATTTGAGATTATTCAC